CGAAGTGGAAGTGCTAGTTTTTAATAAGACTCTGAAAATCCTGTGGTACATGGAAGATCACTAGAAATATAGAAAGAGCCCCTAATAAAAAGTAATTCTAGGTTGCACTGCATGGTAAGGTCAGACATTAAATTAAAAAATCCGATTGTTGTTTCTTGTCGGCTTGGTCAACTTACAACTCGAGATAGATGAATCTATATCCTTAAATATTATGTGAAAGAACAATATTTGGGCTCAGATGGTCTAGTAAAATGTTGCGATTTTGAAATAAACCCAATAGAAAAGATGGAAGGAGACTTCAAATAGTTGTTATTTTAGCCTTTTTTGTAGACTGATAAATCTTATCATTATTTACCTGTGGCCTGAATCTGAAAAATTGTTTTTAAATATATCTTGTAAGCTTGTATTGGCCGAGGAGGAATGGTAAAGACGAAAGGAGAGCGAGTCTATGTTCCAAAAAAATATTTATCCAAACATTCGCTAAATCAATCTTTAAAATTTGTTTTGGTGTTTAGAAAATTTACGATGAATAAATATGAGCAGGTGCCAAGCTAAAGTTAGACATAAAAAATAAAAAACTTAATATAAGTTTTGAACTAAAGATTGATAAATAGAAATCGAGCCTAATTCTAGGATTTAACAACCTTCTTTCTCAAAGAAACCAAGTAAAGTACCCAGGATCATGTAACTCTGAGTCTAAGAAGCATCAAAATGCTATGTCATGGATGAAGGTATACTAGCTTAAACTTGACTACTAACATACATTTTTTTATCGTTATTGTCAAGATGATGAATTAGCAAACAGGACTTTCAGATTAATTGTAAATACTCAAGCTTTTGGCATGATTAGATGTATCAATCAGATCAGGGCTAAATAGTCTCTCGTTATTTATGCAGATGTGACCCAAGCTCATGGGTCAAGCTAAGATTGAGGCAAGATAGGCCAATCTCGCTGCGTTATTCGTCTAAATGATGCCTAGGCAATCAATTTCAGGATTAGGCCATTCACATGAAGAATACTCATTATATCTTCATCAATACTTATTTTTATCTTACAGCTCTGATTATATGTACCTAAAATATCAACGCGACTCACAAGGTCTTGCCGACGAAATAGGCATCCTTAATTATTTATCAAGACATAGATATAAGCCCTATTTGGTCGGCATAAGGCCCTCCAGTTACGGCATTGACATTAATGAATCTGCGTATTTCTATGCACGAAGAGCTAGCACAAGGCCAAATAAATGAGAATGTAAAATATTCCGTTTCGCGAAATGCTAGCAAATATAGTCGCAAAGATGGCATGAATGACATTTTAATCAATGATCAGGAAATTACATCATTCTATCGAGCAAATGAGAATGTTGACCTCGAATGCTAATAAATATGTATAGTGTCAAGTATTTCGAGCATGAGTATTGTTGCACATCAGAATTACTATTCTAAGAGCTAAATCAAGTATTATTCTTAATATGCAAAAAGATGAAAACAGGTACAAATGAACAAGCTTGTGGATTTATATGAATACACAGTCCACTTTTTTGCGTAACTAATTATACAAACATTTCAGCAAGCTACAACCTCAAAGTTCCTGTGTTCTAAACGTGAGTAAGATCAGAGTTAGAGTATCCCAGACGCCCTCCAAAATTATTTTTTTTCTCTCTCTCTCATATATATGAAATAAATGAAGATATAGACATACACGGATACAGAGATGTATGTATCTAAAATGATGAACAGAATCGAAGTGAAATTACTAAATGTATTTGGAAAGTATTGAAATTAATTTGGTATTGTAGATTTAAAATTAGCCCCCGAGTATTATATTTTAGCTAATAAAATATTAAAATGCTCTTTAGGATACAATGGCCAGATGAACATGCGTAGAAGGGGGCAAAAGTAAGTTCCGTTTATTCTATAATTATGTATTGTGTTTCCTGGCAAACGATAGCTCAGTATTGGTGCAGCATCAGCATAGCAGCTCGGAGTAGAAGGATGACAGACAAAGGATTTTAACACGTAAGTTATGGATCAAAACAGCACATCACGTTAGTTGTGATGCCTTAAGGGCTTGGGCCTTATAGAAATTGTCCTAAAGAGTATAGTTCGGGGAAGTTAAATAAAATCGTTTCATGCATTCCCAAGTTAGCTAATAGACTCCATGAGCACTAGTACACTTTTCAAAACGTTTGAATAACGGAATGACACAATTATATATAGTTGGGACGGAACTCAAGATTGGAAAGTACAAGTGTCAAGGCAATACGAGAGATAGTTTTCAAGAAGCATTTTACGCTCCGTATATGAAATAGATTCCGCGACAAAGAGAATGACGGTTGCTGTGTCTTGTCCATCAAAAGGTTTCCTAGATTTATTTCAAATGCCTACCGATGAAAAAGAATTTGCCTGGACGTCCGGAAAGTTGAACTATGTAACGAGAGGAAAGGCTGAAGAACGAATAAACCATTTGAGTCATTTTTATTTGAAAAGAATTTAATGTTATTCAGACAACATATGAAAAATCAAATTAATATCTTTTTGCGTATAAAAGCTCTTGGGCGTCAAAAAACATAGAGCATTCTGGATTATTTAGAAAAACATCAGCATGTGGTAAAGCATCACACTCATGCAAGCTTTCCAATTAAATAAGAATTGATTCTTTTCTAGAGTCCTTACTTGTGAAACGCGACTTTGGAAACGCGACATATTGCACAGGGTTGTTTATGAATCCCTAAAGTTTTCCCTTGAATAGGCCCACGATATAACTATTCTCTTCCATTATGGTGTTAGAGATCTCAGATTCGAGCACGCAATTTACAGCATGTACGTATCTGATGCATGTAAGTGTAAATCTCAGTTAGGAGTATCTTTAAAATAATTACATGGAATTTGGTGAATCTTCACGGATGTTTAGAATTAGAGCTAGGAGAGGGAACGTGTCCATTAAAAAGGTAGCCGTTTTTTCCGGATAGTTAGAGTAAGTACGAAAGAAAATATGTTATTATTTCATTTAAGCAATAAAGGAGAAAAGTACTGAGTCATAGTGAGTCGTCCCTTCACTGAAACCATATTTGCAAGCAAAAATAGGTCTACAATAATCCTATCCTTAGCCTTTTATTCTGTATGACTCGGAAAAGTTTCTAACCATTCTTAAAAAGATAGTGAAAAGCAAGCTCCAAACAAACAATTCAAGTGAAAAGAATCAAGACTGATATAAATACTTTCAACTATTTTGATTTTTAGATAGGCCAGCATATTCAAAAAGCGAAGCGCTATTTTTGATATATTCATCAATAAATGACCATTTGAGAATCAGAATCTAAGAATTAATGCCAAAATGAGAGCTTATTACCTGAAATTTAAGCGTATACAGCAAAAAAGATATGACTAATACAGATAATTAAATAATGTATGAAGTATAATACCTGAGGTAGCTATGTTCTCACTTTTTAATACTCTCTTTATGAATACACCTTGCGAGTGTTTATGAATGGACTCTGGTAATTCGATTATTCAAGTAAGTTGGTGCACAAAACGAGATTCCCTTGCAAGCATTTTTTGTTTCTAAGATATGTAGCGTTATTTGTTTATCCTTATTTAAGACAAACGTATAGTATGGAATTCACAGATTCTGCTCTTTTGCCAGCCAAGTCTTATGAACCTAAACTTTTGCCTGCTGAATAGATCACATAAAGAATTTCGCGTGAGAAATGCTGTACCTAGTAAATAACATGAAAATATTCTAACTAGTTTATTTGCAGCTATCAAGGATTTAGTTTAAAGGTGGGCCAAACTGTCTCTGTTGATATGGAAGTTGGTGCCTTGACAATTGTTTCGGATTGCAAGTGAATTACACCCTGTTTACAGCATTATTGTCTTGTTATACCTTCGCTCGTATCTT